ATGAGGGCTTTATCGAAATGGTGGAAGCTATTTGGAAAAAAAGAGTATGGACATAGCATAATGAAGCAGGTGTGGTGTAAGTTGAAGGATCTTCAGCATGCTTTAAAACAGTTGAATAGAAAAGAGTTCAAGTATGTTGGGAAACAGATTGAGATGGCTAGATTGGAGATTGCAAAAGTTCAAGACCAACTAAATGAACAAGCTACTAATGAGTTGATTGTGCAGGAAAAAGAGTTGCTAATTAAAATTGAAAAATGGTCAATGATAGAAGAAAGTGCTTTGAGGCAGAAGTCATGGATAAAATGGATACAATTAGGGGATGCAAATAATAAGTTTTTCAGCTCAGTTATAAAGGAGAGAACTCAAAAGAAACAAATAAGAAGTATTATGTCCTTTGAAGGGTAATATGTTGTATGATCCACAGGAAATTCAAGATGAGTTTGTGATGTTTTATAAGAGTCTTATGGGAACTTCAGCAGGCAAGCTACCAGCCATTAATGCTCAGGTGATGAAAAGAGGGACTACCTTGACAAAGCAGCAGAGATTACAATTGTGTACTACAGTAACTGAACAAGAGATTTATGATGGTTAGAAATCCATAGGGAATGATAAGGCTCCAGGTATAGATGGTTATAATGCTTTCTTTTTTAAACATACTTGGCAGATCATTAGAGGAGATATCGTTGAAGCTGTCAAGAGCTTTTTCACAACAGGCAAGCTACATAAAGCATTCAATTGTACTCTAGTGTCTCTCATACCAAAAGCTCAGAATCCTAAAACTGTGAAAGAATACATACCAATAGCTTGTTGTACTGTTTTGTATATGATCATCTCCAAAGTGTTAACTAACAGATTACATGGTGTGATTCAGAGTATCATTTGTGATAGCCAGGCAGGGTTTATTCTAGGAAGGAAAATTGCTGATAATATTGTGCTTGCTCATGAGTTGGTTAAAGCTTATACTAGGAAGCATATTTATCCTAGAAGTATGTTGAAGATTGATCTGCAGAAAGCTTATGATTTAGTGGAATGGGATTATTTGTAACATGTAATGTTTGGTCTAGGCTTTCCAGAGATGTTTGTGGAATAGGTAATGAAATGTGTCAAAACAGTGAACTACTCCATAGTAGTTAATGGACATATTTCTCAAAGTTTTGAAGCTGCTAAAGGATTGAGACAAGGAGATCCAGTGTCTCCTTTCTTGTTTGCTATAGCCATGGAGTATCTTAGTAGGCTTCTTAAGGGGCTTAAAGATGATAAACAGTTCAAGTATCATCCTAGGTGATCTAAACTTGATATCACTCACTTATGTTTTGCAGATGATCTATTATTGTTTGCTAGAGGAGATCTGGAATCTGTTAAAGCTATCCAACTATGTTTCTCTCAATTTTCTCAAACCTCAGGGTTACAAGCTAATCTAAATAAAATCTCAATATACTGTGGAGGGGTTCAGATGGAAGTGAAGCAACAGATTGTTCAACAACTAGGATATAACATGGAGGAACTTCCTTTCAAATATTTGGGAGTGACATTATCAACCAAGAAAATGTGAGTGCTGCAATGGTACCCTCTCATCGATAAAATAATGGAAAGAATCAACTCTTGGAAAACTAAGAAACTATCTTATGCAGGTGGAACTCAACTTGTTCAGACAGTATTATTTGGTGTTCAATCTTATTGGGCTCAGTTATTCATCTTTCCAGCTAAGATAATCAAGTTAATTTAGAGTTTGTGTAGAAGTTATCTATGGTAAGGAGTAGAACATGTCACTAAGAAAGCTCTAATAGCATGGGAGAGAGTTTGCAGGCCTAAAAATGAAGGAGGTAAAGGGCAGATAAACATGCAAGTGGAATAGAGCAGCAATAGACAAGCTTTGTTGGGACTTAGCAAACAAAGAAGACAAGCTTTGGATCAAATGGATTCATGCATATTATTTAAAAGGACAGAATGAATGGAAAAAGATAGATCAAGCAAGTTGGATGAATAGGAAAATAGTGAATGTTAAACAAATAGTTGATCAGATTCAACCAAACCAGGGAAAAGGGATGATAAAACAAATCAATAATTATCTGAGAGGGGAGAAAACTAAGCCTGAATGGAGATGTCTAATGTTTAAAAATGCTGCCATGCCAAAAGCTACCTTTACACTATGGATTTTTTTGAATAGGAAGCTAGCAACAGTGGATAAACTTGCTAAATGGGGAATGACACTTGATAAAACTTGTGTTCTGTGAAAAAATGTGGATGAAAGTCTGGATCATATGTTCCTGCAATGTCACTATGCTGGAGAGGTTTGGGAGAGACTGCTACAATGGATTGGTAATCACAGTAACAGGCCAAGGACATGGGCACCGTTTATACAGTGGAGCATTCAAAATGGGAAAGGAGAGTCTACAAGAGCACAACTATTCAAGATGATTCTTGCTGAAGGAGTTTATGCTTTGTGGAATGAGAGAAACAAGAGAATTTTTGAAGACAAGAGTTGCTTGATAGATAAAGTAGTTAAAAAGATAGCCTATGTAACTATTGCTAGATCTTCTACTAGTATTAAAAATGTTATTATTCATAGGAAGATTTGAGTTATAGTTAGTAGTGTAGGTGTTAAAGTGTTTAGTTTGGTTAAGCATGTTGTGTAGCTGCTTGTTTTGTATTGTTTGGACTCGGTAATTAATAAAATTAGTTACCAAATATAAAATAAAATAATTATAATCAGAATAATAATAACAATAATAATAACAACAATAATAATAATAACAATAATAATAATAATAACAATAATAATAATAATAATAATAATTATAATAATAATAATAATAATAATAATTAAAATAATAATAATAATAACAATAATAATAACAATAATAATAATATTAGTAATAATAATAATAATAATAATAATAATAATAGTAATAATAATAGTAATAATAATAATAGTAATAATAATAATAATAATAATAATAATAATAATAATAGTAATAGTAATAATAATAATAATAATAATAATAATAATAAGAACAACAATAAATATTATTAAATAATAATCTTCTTCTCTCCAAATGCTCTTGGCGTAGGTTAGTTAACCTGCGTAGTGAAGGTGAAAATGGCGAGGGGAAGAGGAAGGGACGAGGAAGAGGCCGGAAAACATCAATAATGATAGTTGGTAGCCCAGTTGGAGCTCGGGTGGAAGCAGTAGAGGTAAATGAACAGGAACAAGCTTAAAATGAAGAAAGGAATTTTGAAGAAGGAGTTTCTATGAGCTCCAAAGTATCTAGAAGATTGAGCTTAAATTCTACATCGGAAAAGGAGGAAGCTCATGAGAACTCAGATCTAGTGCAATTAGAAGCTGGGAGCAAGGTAGAAGGTAATTGAACAATAACTAAGAAGATGGATGGGAATACTGAAGATGCTGAAAGTAATGGAGGCAATGGAGAGGAAATAAGCAAGGATTACAAAGAACCTTGAGTTAATATGTTTAAGAATTACCGTGCAGCTAATAATGGTATGCATCTGGCTTATTTTACACCACAAATAGTTAATGGAGAAGCAATGGTTCAGCTGGAAGGGAAAGAGGTTCAGGATGAAGAAGATTAGTGGAAATGTGCACTCATAGCATATGTAGTTCGAAAATGCCCTGGGTATAATGCCATGAACAAATATATAATGATGAACTGGTCAAAAGTAGGCAAACCAGATGTATTTTTACATGATGAAGGGTATTATAAATTAAGTTTAAGAACCTGAATGATATGAATGAGATTCTATATTTTGGGCCATATACTATAAGCAATCGACCTATCATATTGAAACAATGGTGCCCAGATTTTGATTTTGGAAAGGAGTTCTTAGCTGAAATACCTCTATGGGTTAATTTTCCAAAATTACCTCTTAATTGTTGGGGAGTGGGATCATTGAGTAGAATTGCAAGTTCTATTGGTGTGCCATTATTTGCTGATGAATGTACTACAAAGAAAACAAGAATATCATATGCTAGAATGCTTATTGAAGTTAATGTTACTAAACCTATTCCTCAGCAGATCACATTTATGGATCCAAATGGAAGAACCTTCATGTAGGAAGTTGTGATGGAGTGGAAGCCTCAATATTGTGATAAATGTCAATAGATTGGACACCAATGTCAACCAGTAACACTGGAGGAGTTACCAAAGAAGAGAAAACCTTGGAAAAAAGTAACACAGACTTGTCAATATAAAGGGCCAATTCAACAGCAGGAGAGGAAAGATGATCAAAGGAAGATGCCAGTAGTAGATAAAAATAGTGCACAGGACCTGAACTCAATCTAAGGCCTCATACTGAAAGTAAGCATCTGGATTTCAGTCTATCAAATTTTGCTATGCTTTCAGCTATACCAATTAGAAATGGATTTGAGAGTCTAAGGAATAGCAAACTTGCTTCACTGCCTGTTGATAGAGGTGGAGCCTTAAAGAGTTGTTAATGAAGTGGAGTGTCTCATATCCTTGGCTCATAATAGGAGATTTTAATTCTATTTTATCCCCTAAAGATAGATTAGTTGGGGCTCCTGTTACTTTGAATGAGATAAGGGATTTTGAAGAATGTGTTAAGGACATGGGCATCACTGAAGTACATTGGAAAGGCAATTATTATACTTGGACCAATAAACAGATAGGTAATGTCTGCTAGTAGAATTGATAGAGACTTTGGGAATGATACTTGGATGGATAAATGGGGTCATGCTGCTATAGAATATGGGAATTTAGGTGTGTCTGATCATAGCCCTATGCATTTGCTACTTCATCAAAGTTATCATCAAATTAGAGTGAGTTTTAAGTTCTTTAATGTATGGATTGAACATGACTCCTTTTTGGAACTTGTGGATAAAGTCTGGAAGCAGAAGAATGGAAGTGAAGTAATGAAGGAGATATGGTATAAGTTAAAGGCACTCCAGCCAGTCCTGAGACAATTGAATAAGAGAGAGTTTCAATATATAGGCCAAAAGATTGAGAAGACAAGAAGTGAGCTTGTAGAACTTCAAGATCAGCTATATAACCAGGCAAGTGATGAGCTAGTTACTAAAGAGAAGGAGTTACTAATATAGCTGGAAAAGTGGTCAATGATAGAGGAAAGTGCTCTAAGACAAAAAGCAAGAGCAAGATGGATTAAACTGGGAGATGCAAACAACAAATACTTCAGTTCAGCAATAAAGGAGAGAACTCAAAAGAAGCATATTAAAAGTATATTATCTATAGATGGAAAGATGTAAATATCAACCCCAAGAGATTAAAGAGGAGTTTGTTATGTTTTATAAAAGTCTTATGGGATCTTCAGCAGGTTAACTTTCAGCTATAAATGCTCTGGTGATGAAAAGAGGGCTTGTATTATCAAAGCAGAAAAGAATCCAATTATGTACAGACATAACAGAACATGAGATTTATATATCATTGCAGTCTATTGGGAATGATAAGGCTCCAGGTATAGATGGTTATAATGCACTTTCTTTAAGCATACTTGGAAGATCATTAAAAGGGATGTTATTGAGGCTGTCAAAAGCTTCTTCACAATAGGAAAGTTGTTTAAGCCTTTCAACTGCACTCTTGTGTCTTTAATTCTAAAAGTTCAAAGTCCTAAAACTGCAAAGGAGTACATGCCAATCGCTTGTTGCACTATTCTATATAAAATCATTTCAAAGGTGATAACAAAAAGAATGCATTATGTTATTCATACAGTTATATGTGATAGTCAGGCGGATTTATACCAGGGAGGAAAATTGCAGATAACATTATTCTGGCTCATGAATTGGTCAAGGCTTATACTAGGAAGAATATTTCTCCTAGAAGCATGCTTAAGATTGATCTACAGAAAGCCTATGATTCAGTTTAGTGGCCTTTCATAGAACAAGTAATGGTAGGCTTGGGATTTCAAGAGATGTTTATTCAATGGGTGATAAATTGTGTCAAAACAGTGAATTATACTATTGTTGTTAATGGACAAACTACTCAAAGATTTGATGCAACTAAAGGCCTCAGATAAGGGGATCCTATGTCACCTTTTTTGTTTGCCATAGCAATG